CGAACACTAATGTGACTATTAACATCTTTTGATGAGACATAGAGATCTCCGCAAAGTCTCTATATCCGAGTTGAAGAAAATATATTATACTGTTTCTGATTTCATAGTAGACACATCAAGATTTGATCATACTTGATGTTGTAGCTGTCATTCATAGTATGCTTAAACATATAGTCAGTGCACCTGTGGAATGTTCATTTAGATACAATTTTGATTATATTTGTTTTTTTAGCTTTCTTCACACACACACATACCATATTTGTCACTTCTCTCTTTTACCATATCCATTTTTTTTCCTTTTTGTGTAGCAAAAACGAACTTAATCGATTATGTGTATGATGACAAATGTACTGTTTTTTGTTCCATAATACGAATGTGAAAATTGAATTTTGATATCTAATTTATTTAATATTGCAATCACTTGAAGATCATATATTTGTGATTTTGCCTGTTTACTCCCGTGTAAGTCAAATAATTTTATACTGTGTATGAGACACTTTTGCGAGAGTAGACATGGTATAGTAGAGTATGTTATCGGATTACAACCAATAAAACAGATGGAATAAGTTAGATAAGGTTTGAAATTGTCGATTGCGCTTGGAATTGGAGGATAACATGTGGACGGATGAAATCTCATTCGTTGTTGTTTGTAATCTGCAAACATTTTAATGTTTACTTTTCTTCTTAGTAAACTTTTTAACTGATTTGAGTCTTGGCGCTATCCTTATGTGTAGTAGAAGCAAAAAAACTGAACATTGCTCAACAATATAAATTGGAGCTGATGTTTCGTTACATATTAGCGATTTTGATGCATAAAACACGAAATATGTTAAAAAACTTATTTTTACTTCATGATCAATTACGTTTCAATTAATGATACACGGTAAAAAAAAACATGCTCTTCAAGTTTTTAAAGAACTTGAAAAACAAAGAAAAGTGAATTAATTGTTCATTTGTTCCATAGAGTTTGTCTGTTTTTCGGAAAACTCTCTCTGAAAACCGAAGCATTCAATATGAGTTTCTTAAAGGACCACAATCTCGTTTTGAGCTCTTCCTGCATCTCAAATCCAGTCTCTTCGGATTTAGGTGTTTCTTGTGGTGCAGCTCGGCTCAAAATTTAATGTGGAAACAAGGTTTTAAAATTTCTCGATTAGGCTGTTAGTGTGCACTACTGAGGTGCACCTTTTCATCTGAAGATCATCATATATCATAATAAAGAGCACAGATGTTCTTCGAGATAATCTTTCGAAGTTTTCCGCTGAAAAGACCGAAATCAGGTCAGTTTGTTGTGAAAGATTCCAGTGTTAGTTGAGATTAGAGCATACAAAATCGTATAACAATTGCCGATATTTATCTCATTGATGACACTAGCATGTAAGACCGTGTTAATGAAGTGAGACAAGGTTTAAAACCAGAAGTTGTGGCCAAGAATGCACATTTATTATTAATCGTTAATGATTCTTAACAGTCTGTCGGCCATTGATCTGAAAAACGCTTAGATCACGAGATATAAATTTGCCGTACAAGGAGGGAAAAATTTTAAATTTAAAAGACCTGTTCTGTGGAAAAGTTCTGTCTTTAACTCGATATTCAGGTACTGTTTTAAGATAATGTAAGATCTTATGGAACCTTGTACCTTCTTGGCGTAAGTTCTTCTAAGATGTACTTAAATGAAGCGTAAAGATGTTGTAAGACCGTATGACAAGAGCTCATATAATCTGATGATGATGACATACTTTTGTAAGATGTTAGAAGCTTTCATAAGATCATTATTGACCCTGTTGCCACCTAGAATTTGTGAATGTTAGAACATATAGTAGTAAACGAAAAATATAAAAGTGTATGGGATTCGACAGGAAATGATCAAGGGTACGATCTTGTAAGTTCAGTTGAATTCTCATAAGATCGTATCTAACCTTTTAACTTCTTATAAGGTCGTATAATTTTTCTTTCTGTAAGATGTCACAAGACTATACAAGATTTTGAAAGATCAGATGGCAATAAAAATCTTGTAAAATCTAATAAGACTATTGGTCCAAATGCCAAATGACACCTTGTAAGATCTTATAGAAAATCATAAGAATTTGTAAAATCTTTTGAAATCTTGTGATTTCTTATCATATGATCTTCTAAGATTGTATATACAACACTACACATGTTCACTTTAGGCACGTTTTTCTTTTGACTGCAATTTAATCAAGCACACAGTTTACGTAGTTATAAGATAGAAATCACTCTTTTAATCTTGGCTGTGTTTACGTATATATGTTCCCATATTTATATGACATTCATTGCATATGTTATTGTGAAGTTCGATTTCGGGGAATTAGAGCATATAATTTCATCTCTTTTTAGTTGATGTTGTCTTTTATTTTAGAAGTCACCACCTGTTTTTCATCATATTTTAAAAGTAATTAATATGGAAGAATAGTGAATTCACTCTGTAATTGAATTATCTTTTTTTCTCAAATACTACCGTACGATCGAATTTCTTGTCAAGTTCTTGACAATGCATTGTGTAATGCTCTTTGAATAATCGATCTGAGCACTTGTCACATTTACTGAGGCCTCTCGTCTTGCAACCAGCATACGAACATTTATCAGTGAGAGAGCGATGCTGTGCCATCTCAAGCACTTATGAAAGAAACAGCGTCAAGCTGTTGCTAGAATAGCATGTGTCGAATTGTTCGCAAGAATAGATGAAAAACGTACTATACCTTTTCTGCTGCAATGTCAATAAAGCAGAACAATGAGAACTCATTTTAGAAGCACATTTTATTATATTAGAATTTGTACTTTTATTTCATATTTATTGACTTTTATTCAAAACATTTCGATGAGCTTTCGATTGTTGTGTTTTCTTTGACATCAGCTAGCGCAGAAAAGGCATAGTACATTTTCATCTATTCTTTCTCCCATAAGCATCTACAAGAAAAGCAGGCATGATGAAGAGAAAACTATTTATCGGTGAGACATTAGATGAAATTGCTGAGAGGTATGGTGAGTGGGAATTGATATACAAGGCCGTGAAGGATGGCTTTGATGTCAAAGATTCTCGGCGTACATCATAGTGAACACATAGTAGATGGATGATGGCAGCACATATCACAGCTATTTTAAATGCCGCTTCGTTCATAATTCCTTTTACATATTCCTATTATGGTGAACATTCAGAATCAGTGATGTGTGCTCGGTCGTGATTACCGTCTTATGTTTAGTATTTATTCAATGATAAGTGTAAAAAAGTGAACGTAATGAAGTTTCTTTCATTTTTCTAAAATCATCCCAGAACATCGAAAACGGTCACATTAAATGCCCATTAAGTGCTTTTCAAGGGACCATTAACTAGTCGTTGATATTTTTCAGCAATCTGACACAATTTTTTCACTGTTCTATTCCTTAGGTATGATCGGTGCCATCACTCGCACCATACTCAGAACCAGTAGCTACTTCCTCACGAGGGAACCTCTTTAGGTGTTAAATCGCTTTTCGCTCGGGACCATTGCCATTCGATACTGCTGAGTAGTGAAAAAGTCTAGAAGGGTTTGGGTCCATGGCTCTTCTGGACTGAGAATCAAATCGAATTATCAGGTTATGATTGAAATAGACTAAAACACCAAAGGACGGGCAACGGTTTCTGCTAGAATATGGCCCAATATGATTTTGAGTGAAAATGATCGGAAATGCTTCTCTTTTCACTTCCCACGTTCAAAAATTCCTTCTGGTGTCTTTCAAGTAAAAATTACTTTTCATTTATCGCCACCAGTTCAACAAAAGCCATTTACTTTTTTCCGCAAATGTTTCGTCTGATTCCAAAGTCCTTGAACAAAGCTCATACATAGTAACATAGAGAATTTTCTGGGCTTCAAAATAAGCTATAAACGAGGTTATCAAAAATCTGCTCGTACAGGAAAATTGTCGAAATACTAGAAAGATATCATCATTTTCACCTATCTTAGCACTTTAAAGGAATATTTCTTGAACTCATCTACTCAGAACCGGAATGTTTTATATATGAAAAGATAAAGAATTTTTCGGGCTTCAAAATGAAGCCCGAATAAATACGTCTTTCGAAAATATGCCACATGGGTCAATAGTCGAAATACTTGGTTAATGTCATGATTTTCACCTATCTTAGTGCGTTAAACACACCTTTAATCATTTTTCTGCCGTAATAAAAAATTATATATTTTTCAAAAACATACCATTGGATAGCCCTTTAAATTCCCTACAAAGTGGAATGGTCAGAGTATCCAGACAGATTGGGTCAGTCATTAACGATATCGAAGAGAAGCGTTTGGGTGTTATCTATGCAGTACAGTATGTCATAATCACAAGAAGTCCTCTGTTTTTTATTTTTCGGTAAAAGCTGGATTCAGTCTGAATACTGTTTTGGATAGCCCGAAGATTTTTCTAACAGATGAGGTGCATATCGCCGTTTCATAAGAAAAGTTGATAATAGGGTTTGTGGAAAATCTGACACCTAGAAAACTAAGTCCTTGGTTTTTGGTCAGAAAATTTCGCAAACCATATAGCCTGATAGAGCAAAGAATTCTGAGAAAAATAAGACATCTCGAAGCTGTCTATAAGGCTTTGTCACAGTGTAATTGTAGTAATTTTCACGCCCTTTGTAACCATTCGTAGATCGACTGCAGTTGCGTGAAAAAGCCTTATAGACAGCTTGAAGATGTCTTATTTTTCTCAGAATTCTTTGCTCTATCAGGCTATATGGTTTGCGAAATTTTCTGACCAAAAACCAAGGACTTAGTTTTCTAGCTGTTAATAAAAAGTAGCATTTGACGTATTCATCAAAAATGAAAAGGCAGTATTTTGCTTTTTTCGAGAACATTTTTAAAACAAAAATTACAATCAAACACAGACATACGAATATAACCATTTACTCAAAGATGCCGGATTTTTTTAAAAGAATTTTTATTGTGAAAAGAAATGTGTGTTTTCTCCGAAGTATCATCTGGGCATTGATAAAATTGATAATATCTTTATATTTTATCTAGAGAAATGACTTGTTTTTCGGATCTATTTTTCACGCTTTATTGGCACCGCTGATTCTTCCAGCATGCTATAATTTTTCGAGTTGCTCACCTTAATGGCCCAACCCGGCCGAATCTTTGAAGAATGATTCCCGAACTCAGTGTTAATTTTTCTTTTTAGAAACAAAGATATGATAACAACATCGGTGCAGGATCAGCGTGTGAGGATATCATCTCATTACACAGATGTCATAGAAAAACCTATGATTGGAAAAATCGCGCCGATAAAAGGGTATGAAAATGAGCCACTTGTATCACTTGAGAAGGCGATTGAGCCGATAGCTCACCTGTTCAACAGCGAAATATGGGATAATGTTGAGACTGCTAAAGAAAAATGCAGACAACCCGCCGATAATTTAACTCAGGATGAATCGGCGTCGATCTATTTGTATACAATGGAGTTCGACGGCTCTTCTCTTTATCTATTATTGAATCAAACACTTCGTTCCAAAGATACAGTACGTCTGAAGCCGTGGTTTTTATTTGTAAAACTGTTTCTGACTGCATTATACAAATTGCCGTCAAAAGTTCTTACTGTTTGGCGTGGTATACGCAATGTGGGTGTGGATGTGGTAGACACATATCATTCGGGAATAAAATTCGTTGAGTGGGCCGTCACTTCATGCACTGAAAAAATGGAAGTACTGGAAAACGAGCAGTTTCTGGGTAACAGTGGCATGAGAATATTGTTTTCCATTCACTGTATTAATGGGAAATCAGTGTCGTCTCATTCACAGTTTAAAAGCACAGAAGAAGAAATAATTCTTATGCCTGGCTCCTTTCTGAAAGTTACTGGCAGTTTGAAGGTACGTGACATGCGCATTGTTCAATGTAAGGAAATAAGACCAACAAATCCATTGATCGCACCGCCGTTTATTAGGCCGAAACAACCGACGAAGCAAATACAAGGTAATGTAATGTAGATTAAGAATGAGAAGACAATGTGATTAAAAAGCAGGTGACTGATTCTAGACCGAAATATCACATAATGATTTTCGTTGAAAACAGAAAATTTATTTTGAACAACTAAACCTTCCCTGCAATATGATATGAGCTCTCTGAACACATTGTTCGTCTTCTAACCATAGTAACAAGTTTTTTTCTTTTAAAAGTCCATCTTGAGATACTTTAGATGTTCTTCAAATGTGTTATTTGAGATATTTTTTAATTTAAACTTGAGTATGGTGTGCTTCAAGTATGTAGTTGAGCATTTTTTGTCATACAAAAGTGTAACTAATTAAATTTATCTTTCTTAAAAATTACATATATTATTCGTGAAGCGAACTGTAGCAATCTTTTCCATCTTTTATATAAAAAGCAACGCTAGAAGTGTCGCAACTGCTTTGTATTACAAAAGGCTTTGATTCTGTTTAAAATAATACCATATTTATAGCTATCCAGCGAAGGCAAACGGAGATATCAATTTATCAAACATGTTTGCTGAATACATGTCCACCGGTCTCAATAAGATAAGTTAGAATTAGAATTTTTAATAGCTTTTATTTTTCTTATGGTTAAAAATTGACTTGAGTTGGTGACTAAAGTAGAAGACTACCATGATATTCTATTGTGAGGAGAGTTTTATAGAGAATATATTTTTCATCAGAAATATCAACTAGCAAACGTTCGTTCGTATATCATTCAATAAACTCTACCCGACTAGAAAATATATCCAGTTGTTTTCTACTGTACAATAGTGACTATGGTTAAAAAAAGAACATGTCATAACACGAGTAGATATATATATACGAATAAATATATCACAGCACTATTCATTTATTTATTGCAATTACTGAGTTTAACAATCAAGATATTTTGTAGAAAGCTGCTCGCATATGTTACCTATAAGATAATGTATGAATTTCTGCGCAAACTTTTTCAGCATTTTCCTCATTAGAATTTTGGTCTTTTTTTTCTCCGACCTTTCTATCAGAATATAGCCCGTTTGATGCCCTTTTTATATAAATGTCAAGAGTTCATTCAAAACTGATAAATGGGAAACATTTAGAATTAGATGCTCAATAAAAGTCTCTATCGAACCTGCTATTGAGTTACTTGAGTTGAGATACTTTTAAACCTGGCGGGACCCTTTTTTCTCGATTTGTTGCCTTGTTTTTAGCAATGTAAATAAAATTTTCAAGTTTCTACTTATAAACTCGTTTTATTTATGTCAACTAATAGAGGACATGAAGATGTATCTATAAAAAGGTTCGGTCAGGTTTTGACTGAGTTACTCAACTTTGACATCTCCATGAAATAATGAGCAAAAAGTACTTTTACAACATCTTAAACTAAAGGACGGGGGTCGATAAGAGGCAAAATCGGCCCCCTCTCAGATCAACCTCATATTCACAAGTCTGATGTAGTTTTTCTCGGTGATTAAAACTAACATCTCAAAAAAACCATTTTCAGTCCCCCTGGAAAAAATTCCGCATCCAAACTTTTCTCCCCTTAAATGAACTTTATTTAGAATATTTTCCCTCTTTGCCCAAAGAAAACCTCAACTACTGTACATCATTCGATCGAATTTTGCGAGCTACAAAATGATACATATAATATTGAGAACGAATAGAGCGTGGGTGTCCTAACACGAGATATACTAGCCCCAACTTCCATAAATCCATAGGTCAACAGCGTTTATCGTTTATATTGTCCAACCAGTTTATTGTTAACCACGCCACTTTATATATCATTCGATAGAGAATTTCGGGAGCTATAACATGCTGATACTTATGTTGGGGTTTATGGTTAAGGTCATGTAGGTCAAAATGTTTTTATTTTAAAGAATAGCGAGTATTTACATCTTCATCATCGGTTGAATCACAGAAGTCTGAAACTTAAATACTGTCTGTAAATAGTTGCGCAAAATCGCCGGAGGGCATGACGCGTGGTTTTGTCTGCCAACGCTCGTAGCTTAAGAACCAAACACTTTGACCTACATGACCTTAACCATAGACCCCAACACAAGTATCAACATTTTGTAGGTCTCGAATTTGTGGAGGTCGGGACTAGTATTTCTTCCCGAATTGATCCCGAATGATGAATCCAGGATTCTGGAAAACCGGCTCTAAAAAATCTTCATTTTTTCGATATTTGACATTTCCATTCGATTCTGTATGTGAAAGTATCTACCTTCCATGAGTTTCGGATTTCCTGGACACTTTCAACTGGCTCAGAAAAAAGAGAATGTGCCGTCATTTGGGCGGTCCCTAGAGAACGTACTTGGTGCAAGTACTTAATTACTTGCTAAGTACTTGTCAATGATCGAAATGCTTGCCTTATGGCTAAGAAGTACTTTCTGAGAGTACTTGGCAGGTAAGAACAAGTACTTACAAGTAAATTTACTTCTGGAAAAAAGACAAGTACCGGCTTCTACGTAGACGAAGTACTTAGCCACAAGTACGTTCTCTAAGGGCGGTATTTCATCAATGCAGCATGTCAATGTTTTCAATTTTAAAGAGCTTAATAAACTTAGCGACAGCAAACTATTATACCATAGAAAATAATATGATAAACAACTTCTATATACACATTTATGCTCTAAAAGGCTTCCCCCTCAGAAAAACTGCAGACAAAATCTCAAAAACACACACGTTTGATCCCCAAATTTCCTTCTCAATGTCAAATCCAAAACTCATCGCCAAACCTTGTCCCCGAACGATGACAACCCTTACCCTCACATATCGAGGCTCTCTATCAAATGGGTACGAAACCAAAGTTTCAAACTAGACATGAAAAATTTAATTAAAGTTTAAAAGCATTTCTAACGTACCAAAGTTTTTCTTTACTTGTTATTATTTTTTTAGTCCATAATAGTGGATCAATTACAGAAGCGCCAATTAAAATCGTTCAACAAGCATGGACGGCTCCTATTCCAAAAAATGAATCGGTCATAAAAACGGAAGAGATATCGCCGAAGCCTGTAATCTCACATGTTGAATATCCACCATTGACATTAATTTATTTTATTGGTGGTTTGGAAGCGATCTTTACCCTACTAATTTTCATCTTAGAAATTGTTAGTCTAGCAAAGTCATCAGCACCCATTTACAGACCAACCGGTTGCGGCATTTGGTGTACAGTTCCATTTATTCTAGCAATTATTACGGGTACGTAAAAAGAGAGAAAAAATATTTTTCTGTCTTTCGCTTTGATTGCTAATCACCGTCGATTATCATTGATTAACACTACTCCATCCGATTGAAGTCACATTTATGAAGTAACGGCTCAATGAAGAAACTCGAGTAATGCCTCATCTGACAGAAACTTTTGCAGACTACCTTAAAAGTTTTAGAGATCAGTTTTATTTGTTCAGTAAGTTGTAGTAAGTCAAAAAGTTAACAAACTTTTTTAAGTCATTACATTCACCCAAATAGTATCCGTAACGGAAAAAAACTTCAGGACGTATACTTGGAAATATTTCCTGCGAGCACGGAAAGTTCAACAAAAAAATTGCAATTTGAAAAGCAAGAAAATTTTTTCACAACATCTTGCCCGTAGTCCCATATAGGCATGCAATGGTTACGGTTGTTAACCGTTAACCGTAATCACAATAACCGTTTGAACGGTTATTTGAAAACCACATTCTGAACAACTTTTGCAGCTACATTTTTGCACCAAAATGCTACCTTTTTAAACAGCTACGGACAACGTTTCCTTCAAACCACTTTTAGTCTTAAAATTTTACCGGATAGGTAAACGTTGAATTTCGCCATCAAACTTCGTCTTGGAGTATTGAATATTTTATTCTATATCCAACTTGATGTCCTTTATACAATGACACAAGAAACGAGTCTTCGTTTTGAAAAAGCCTTAAAAACTTTTTTTCTTAAAAACCACAAGCCCGGTAAACGGAAAAACTGCAGGCCATTAATTTCACTCTGTGCTCCACAAACTGGTGGAAGAAAGTCTGAAGGGAATGCGTGAAACATCACGTCTCTTTCTATTCACCTAGTTTGCTTCAAGAATCGTTATTGTCACGCATTTGGCCAGCTTGCCGTTATTGTGTTTGCAATTATAATTATCGGCACTGATGGCAACTTTCTCCAA